TGTAATGAAACCCAATATCGGGAAATAAGGTCAGGGGACCATGCATCTGCAGCAGTGCGAATGAGTCACAGTCACATCAACCAGCGTACTCAGTCATTGATAGGGACCAAAGTGCTGAATCATCCAGGGTAGTCTGCGTCTGCCAATGTGACCCAAATAAATAGGCAACCACTTCCACCAGATTCATATTCGGTGAAGATGTGGAATTTATGAATTCTCTTCAAAATCAAATTGCTGTGCTGTTCCGCTGCAGTGTATGCGGCGTTTATTCCCAACGGGTTTCGAATTCTGAGGAGAGTGAGTGTGAGTCGCTTCATTGTGACACATCTGCAGCTGGGCTCGAGGTTTTCAGCAATCAGCGAAACCGTTCGACGGGTATGTTAGCTCGTGGGTGGTAGACAGTTGTGTGAAATCGTATGACTTCCCAAAGTTTGACAGAAACGTGGTTCACTCTAGATTCGAAGTGACATTCACGACCAAGTAACTCTATGCAACGTTTAGCCTTCTGAATCAAATGTATTATTCTATCCTTAGCTCAAGTGTGTTTATCAGAGATTCGTAAAAAGCATACTGTTGACTATCATCATGGGACGACTCAGTGTGGACAATTCTGTTACTGCGACGAAAGGTCATATAAATTAAGTATTTACAATATGGAAAGCCCACAGTTTTTGACTATGTCTGTTATTCTGATAGTACTGATAAGTGAACTTACACAGACCGAAACCTAAATCCTACATTTTCCTTGATAGGTACTGCTTCTGATCACCATGTGAGGTGGCCTACACACACTGAGAGGTAGGAATATTCATTTGATTTTCCTAGTGTGCATTTCAGACTGAACAGAACATAAGTGAAACGGGAGTCAGGGGTTTTGAACGAACCTAGCAGACATTTGTTACATCCAATCATCTTAGGCTTTCAATACTGTACAAGATAGTTCCAACGCCCTCACATCTTCATTGATGTCAGGCCAATTAAATCCTTTGGAAGTGATCGTGATCGGACACTTGAATGCTAAAATTTTGTGCAACGTGCCAAAGGAGTCGTGTCGATAATATTTCAGTCCAATTAGGAGATTCCAATTAGTATATGCGTCACATAATAAAATTACCTTATCTGCTTCAATCTGTTCTATTTCTGGTTTGAGAGTATCAACAATAGCTGTCACTGAATATCATTGTCTTTTGGGAGCATAGTGAGTTTAAGAAGGCAAATTCTTTAGAAAATGTCTTAATAGTTTATTCGAGACAAAGCGTCTGAAACTATACAGCTCGCCTTAGAAATATGTTGTATATCTGAAGTAAGTTCTATGATAGTCCGGTCGGAGGAAATCTCGAGGAGAATACCTGTATGAAGACTAATAAAGAGATAACGTTAGATGTGTTACGATCGCCGATAATAATAAACTCTCGAACTTTCACTGAGTGCTGAAAAAGGCATACAGTAGAGTACAAAGCTAGGAGTTACCGATTTAAAAAATATACTTGAATTCGCTATCTTACAAAAGTCTCGAGAAGAATGCCATGGATAACCACGTTCCATTTGTTCTCAGATTACTTCACGTTGCAAGAAGCATGGCGGTTTGTAGATTATAGGTCCTTCAGTGTCACAGTGAGCACGTTTACTCAGTGATAATAACTTCGACTTTGGTTAAGGATCTTTCCTCATTACTGTTTAATTTTGTTGTTTTTACTCTACCACGAAGTTGGTCTGTGGTCTCGTAAGGACGCAAAATTCAGTAAGAAACATCAATGAAAATTCACCAGCCCATCAAAACCTCTCAGTTGCTTGATAGTAAATAGTTTGGTGTAATCCAGGGTAGCTGTCATCTCATTTGTCAGTCGGTAAATGAATTAAATGTTAGCGGTTTAACTGGGAAAATGCAGAAAGTTTACTCATACCTAGCATTTTCAATTTTTTACAGTAATGCCTTGTTGTCTGAGTCGCAAAGCTTTCGGACTTCGGGGAACCTATCATTCGCGTGGCGATATATTCCACGCCTTATTCAAGAAATTTCCCCAATAAGCTATTCTCCTGACTAACCCGGCTGTTACGTACGGAACGCATACGCACTACCACCTACCACCCAGCATCAGATGGTTCAGTTGAACGGTTTCATCGCCAACTTAAAAGTGCCCTTCGAGCACACGAAGACAACAGTTGGTACGAAACCTTACCGCTCGTTCTCTTAGGTATCAGAACGAGCTCAAAGGCAGATATTCGATGTTCCGCCGCTGAACTTGTGTACGGCACGACATCGCGTCCGCCTTGGGAAGTTTTCGAACTACGGAGCAGTAACGATTTAGGAAATCAGACTACGTTCAACAACTGTTTGGATTTATGCGAAAACTGCCTCCAGTGTCAACTCGAATACGACATCGACAGGTTGCCTCCTTTGAGAGTTATCTATTTGTTCACATGTTTTCATTCAAGTAGTATCAGTACGCAAACCCCTGCAACAGCCTTACGAAGGACCTTTTCACGTGATTTCTTGTCACGAAAAGACCTTCAAGGTTGACCGACGTGCCCGCGTCCAGGAAGTCAGCATCGATCGTCTCAAGCCAGCACACGTCAATGACAGTGCCCTTCCTGACAAGTTGAGACTCAATGCTAGATCCATGAAAATTACTAGCGGGATCCTTACATCTACCTCAGATCCAACGTTAGATACATCAGAGACATCATTGTCACGTCCTTGTCAACAACACGTGTCATCTGCACGATCTACGGACGAGATGGTAGTCTCACGTCCAGATCAGCAGACCACACCGCCCTTGACTTCGGATGAGATTGCAGGCTCACGAAGTACAAACGAGGCCAGCGTCTCACGTTCCAGTCGCCGAATACGCTTACCCGTACACTTTCAGGACTAACCGCACAATCAACAAAGGATACGGTATAGGACTCAATCCATATAGCACATGCATGCTACACCTTTTCTCTTTTTCTTTGGTTTTTGTTTGTAGCCAGAGCCCATGCCTCCGACCATCGCCCGTTTGGTACCATCGACTTCAGTCAACCTTGACAAAAGATGACCTGATCACCGACGCTCTTGTCAACGCACTCAGTCGATATTCTGGCTTCGAATCTATCTGGCATTTGTTTAGTCTCGCAATCGGTTGTTATTGTCGCTTCTGGTTTATTCGCTCAATGAGGTTCCGTCTTACGTCTGCAGCGTTTTCTGGTCCGCATTCCTACGAACGCAATCTTTGGATCCTGGATACAAACCACTCTGGTGTTGTATGCTAACTCGAGCAACAAATACAGCACGTTTCTCCTGGTACTGTTCTACGTAAGAAACATTCGGTGGCAACTCGAGAATCAACGATCGCTTCCTGTTCCGCCAACCCTTTCGTCCCACAATCACACGTTTGCAGATCAGTCTCGTGAACGAAACCGTTATGTGTCGAATGTGTAAACCCTTTCTAGCGGGATGGCTCTTGTAGGAATCTACTTTTATCAAGAGAAAGCGGTTGGTATAATGGAAACAGTTATTGTTATAACCAATTGTACCAGTGATTGTCTTAATGTACTTGTTTGTTTGACTGCACAAAAGACATTCTTCCCTCCGTTGATTGTGATCTTGCACGTTCTTACGTTGCTCAGTGATTCCGCTTGTACTCTTTTGGCACGATCTCGGTATTCTTTCGAGACCACGAGATCGTCAACAAATATATCTCGCTACAATCTGCAATAGCCTTCTGATATCTGGTACGCAACCGTCTTGTAGTGGTGTTCATAGTCAACCACGACTCGACGCCACATTACAAACTGCTCTCTTGAAGATTATTTTTCTCCACTTTTACGCGCCATAAATGTTCTGAATCATGTCCTCACCCTCTTTGATAAAGTTTATGTGTAGTCGATATATAGTCATTTAAGTTTCATTTCCGTCTACACCTTCAGGTCAACAATACTGCTTTAAACTCCCCGGTAAACGGAATATAAATCGTTTAATTTAAATGAAGAGGAATGCATCGAACATGGATTCTAGGTTAACATAAATCCGTATGGCGGTCAACATAGCTAGTTTAAGCTGTAATTTTTAGGTTGCAGAAGAACAAGAGGTGGCTCGATCGTCACATACAACTCAGGAAACCCCAATAAAGTTTTTCCGCTTGAAGTTTTTCGATCCAACGCACGAGGTAATTCTCCGAAGTTTATTAGTCATAAGGTTAAATTAAAGAGTGAACGTATGTGTCTGAAATACAAGCCTACAAAATTTTGAATACTGTTCTATTCAAAGTGATTACAAGCCCATCAGTAACGTACCTAAAGAGTAAAGTAGTCAATCACGCATTTATTTGCGGGTAGCCCTACTTCTCCTGAAATAGCTGTTGAATGTGTATATCTGCGAAGATACTCATCATTCTTCACCATGTCTTTTGATGTCTTCTGTTCCCTTACTGTGTCCATAATTTATCCTATTTTAGATATATATTTTGTCCACAGCAATTTCAACCGTCTGTACCATTAGAGGCACAATTAAAGTTGAAGGTCGCCCTTAGCATGACTGCAGGTGATAAGCTGTCAGGTGTGCAGCAGCTGTTATCGACGAGGAGCGTGATATCAGATATTAAACACTCGATCGCTATCAAATGTGAAAAATATCCTGAAATCTCCGGAGGAAAATGTAACATGTATATTCTCATTTATCTCTCAAGATTCCCTCACTTAGAGACATTATAAAGACTTTGAATCTGAACATTTTCGAAAATTCAGACAAATCAGGGCTTTGGTTATTGCATCTTTGTGTGTCGTTTTCAAGGACGTGCTACCTGCTTACCGCATACGACCTGCTACTGAGAAAGAAAAGACTCAACCGGTAACTAAACGCACAATGATTATGCTTTTCTGCAGACTAAAAAAGAAACTAGGAAAATATGGTATTATGAGGAACACTTACTTTTAAACTACCGGAAGTATACTGAATTGCTCAGAGTTATCCTAAGAGGTATTTGCATTAGATACAATTATTTCCAGACAAGTGTTTGGACATGAAGTCTCCTCGTTTGAAAATATACTCAAAATTGGATTGGAATGAAGTAGTCTTGTAATTTTTTAGTGACCTTTTGCAGAACGAAAAGCTCACTGCCATAAGGTGCGTCTGTCAGCTCTTAGAAAGTCATCCAGACTTCAACTACAGCAAAGAGTTAATAGAAGTTTTACCCTCTTACCTCAACATTACAAAGACACAAGTGATAAACAAAACGTTATTTAATTGTTTACAGGTTTCTTCAGTGATAATAAAGACTCTAAATAACATGTTTGAGAACGATACTGATCGGGACGTCACTCTAACGGTACTATTTAATTTTTTTCCAGCTGACTTTAAAAGATCTGTCGTACCATTCATCGCTTTTGTCGGTCAAAGTCTTATAAAGTCGGAGTCTCAGTCATCAAGGCTTTGTCCTGTGTCTCTATTACAGAGGTCGAACGCCACGAAGAGGAAGGAAAGCCTAAGCTCGATAGGCGTCTACGTTCACGGCGTGAAAGAAAAGTTAGTGCTTAACATTTTTGACTGTGTCAAAATACGTCAAAGTTTGTCATTGCTAGCCTCAGTAGTTCAGCGTCACCCTTAAATTAAGTACACAGTCGGTACAATATTCTTGGCAAAAACGACATAGTGAGTTACTTGTCAAGTGCATATTTATATGTTCGGTTTTCATCCACACTGAGTGCAAGTGTCACTAAACGATTCCTAAAGCCCAACTGAATTAATTCTCATCAATTGAAGCAGCTCAAAATGATTCTGACTAGGGTTTGAGAGCTTAGATGATATCTTTAAGTCGTTGTCAGTAGCTTAAATCCATTCATTCCTTATTTACTTTGAGATCCTGATTTATAATAATTACTTTTGTAGTCATCGATTACAAACATCGTTTTTATATTATATTGCATGAAGCCACTTTGCTACCATAGATACAATTATTTTGGAATCTATGATTTTTATGTTACTTCCTGTTATGCTTGTTCTTACGTTTTTGATGACTAACTGGTCTAGACAGATGAGTAAAGATGTATATCAATAACAACACCTATTTGTATTTCACTTTATGTACCTGCTTATTGGTTTATATTAATTCCCAACAAATGGTGTTACAGTATTACTTGCCTTAAAGTTATCTAAATATCCTTACGCAATGTCAGTCAGTCAGCTACAACGTAGGACCAGGCACGTATATGCACCGGTCCAAGTTCCCATACCTCAATAGCACAACATGATGAACACCGAATTCATAGAAGTAGTTACTTCAATAGCAGTAATGTATAAAATAAGTATTGTGTATAAGGATATAATGCAGGAAGAAAGAATTAGTTCGTAGAAAGAAAGGCACAAAGCAATTTTAATCCCACGGTTTAAGGAAAGACAAAGAGTGTATTCACCTACACCATTGTGATCGATTCTAAGCCATGTCACTCAGAGCCTCTAATAATTGGTTACGATAGTTACACGGGCCCCAATCAAGTAGTCTGCATCTACCAACATGGCTCACACTAGAAGTTTGTGACTTCAGTGACTGATGCCACGTTTTGGTATGACCACCTCTAGCTTTCTTCCAATCATCCCTAACACTAGTCAGCATTGCGCGTCATGGTAATCGGTGTCCAGGCATACGTAACACATGGCCCAGCCATCTCGGTTGATGAAGATTTACAACCTCATCAATTGATTTACCATCATTCCGTAATGCCCTGTGTCTAACCTCACTATTATTTGCCCGGTGATCCCAACAGGTGCGAACAATATTTCTATGATACTTGTAATCAATTACTAGTAGCCTACGAGTATCCTCCACTCTTAATGGCCACGTTTCGCAGCCGTAAAGTAGAACGAACTGCTGGGCAGTACACTCGTCCCTTAATTCATATACGAATATCTCGCTTTGCCATAGGTGACGTAGGTTATCAAACACATTGTGTGTTTGATTCCTTGTCGATTATTCATTACTAAATTAAGGGATATACAGAAAATACGTTTTTTATACCCTACAACGCTAATCGATATTCGGTCGCTTTCTTCTGCTTCTAATTATTGGCACTGCAAGCAAATTTGTTGCTCCCGAATGCCTTGGTACGGCCGAGAGTGGGGAGAGTCCACTCTCCTCGAAACGCTCTCAAATGGCCACGCGTATATAACCTCTGCCAGGGAAGTCCTACTCACTGCCTCTCGTGGCATTACTGTTGTTTACGAAAATGAGAGGACGAAATGCGAATGTCCGGCGCTTTAACCAGATTCCAAACCAATGGTGCACATGGGCTCCAGTATCCTGCGGGAACAAATGGCGTATGAACCAATCGTTGGTCACCTGCTACCATGGGACTGCATCTCCTTACGTTGCTCCACTGCCTTTGGATCAGACCTTCAGGTCGAAGTCTCGGGGAATGGCCTCCTAAGAAAACCACCTGCTTCGGTCTGGACACCCGGGCAGTATCACAGCCCTCACACATATCAAATGAGATTTGTGTCGCGTATATGTGTTTGTTGCCCCTTTGTACCAATATCTATGTGTTAAAATAATAAATACTAATAAATAACCAAAAGTGGTAACTTGCCTTGTTAATAGTTTTCTAAAAATATTATTTCACAGATCATTTTCATTTCTTAGGAGTCCAAAATGGAGCGCAAACTTCAAAAGGAAATGGCTGAAACCCAGTCCCTTCAAACAAGAGAAAAACGTCTGAAAATGGTAAATGTGATTTCCTTCATGATATTATTTTCGAATGTTAGAACACCTTGGTTATGAATGAAGTACTGTTTGTTTTCTTCAAAATTTTGAAAACAACTTCTGACTCTGAACTTTTGTCTGCCATTTTTAAAGGATTATCTAAGTAACTTTTAACTTTACTAGTATGTCCACCATTTTTCAGATACGCCAAATTCATCAACACACAGTATGTAGACAATCTTATGTCTGTTCTAAATGAAATGGTAGCAAAAAAAGTAAGTACTGTCTTTTTGTTATTAGAAATTAATTTCAAATTTTGTGAAACATGTATGTAATAAAACAGCCTTGGTTAACTTAGTGTGATAACATGTTTGTTTGTCCACCGATCATGCTCCGTAAGTCAACAGACAACCGCAAACCATTTCTGACTTGTTCATTAGACTAAAGTATCAACTCAATGAGGCCACCTTGAAAAATAACATCTTCATTATATATAAATACATATTCGCCACGCAATAACAATGAAGTGAAGATATAGTGAATGTAACCTGAGCATAATAAAAAGCGAAAAAAACGAACAGAAATTAGTGTATGAGAGTGAAATAATAATTGGAGAAGCAGTGTAGTTAGTAAAGGTACAACCAGAAAGAATTCTTCCAGTTAAAGAAGTTACTTCAATTTTTTATGAAGAGAGTAAAATAAAGTTACAGCAGGGTCACCATTGGCTTTTACTCTGAACCATATCTGACATTGTCTCTAGCCACCGTGTTTCACCATCCCTAGGACCCTAACCAGGGAGCCGCAAAGCACCAAAAAAGCCAGTCGTGTATAACTTTCTTCCATGCCACGATAACATGTCATACACTGATCACCTCTCCGCCTTATCCAACCAGTCCCAACGTCGGCAAATAATGCACGACGTGGAATTCTCTGGGACGACATTCGTAGGACCACCGAAGCCGATGTTTCAAGATAGTGAAAACAGTTCAATTATCGCCGCTGTGCTCGAACACACGATGATGAACCTTTACATTACTGACATGGTGTTGCCCCTGGAGGTCAGTAATCCTTCGGAGACAACGATGGTCAAACACAGAGAGTCGTCTAACATCCTCAACTCGGAGAGGCCAGGTTTCACAAGCATACAGCAAAACTGCTCTCACTGACGCGTTGTAGATCTAACCTTTTACAGCCAGACTGACATCACGAAGCCGCCAAAGATGGCTCGGATTGGCATAAGGCTCTCTGCCTTGCACTATACGTGAATTGATCTCATCACTCACGCCACCACCAGCACTTATGCAGCTACCTAGACACACGGACTTCTCGACTACTTGTATCTGCTCACTACTCAAGGTGAGGGCAGGATCAGGGTACTATCAGTCTTGTAAAAGTACTTTGCACTTCGAAGGTGCAAAGCACATACCATACCTACGGACACTGATTACCAACTGGTTAAGTGCTGGTTGCATGGCTTGGGTGTTGTCGCACAGTAAGACAACATCATCCTTTTTAAGTCTCTGGAAAACTATCCTTTCATGATTTGGGCAACTGACAATAGACAACCATCCTCATACCTCTAACGACGCGCAAGGTCACATAATTTACGATATGACAATGTATGGCTCCTAACTGGGATAGTACTAATAACGACATGAGTAGTTTAAAAGTGGAAAACTTGATAAAACCAAGAAAGAGTCGATATAGCGTAAACAATTTTTTCTGTTCACAAAAACAAAATATCATCAAATGTACACATAAAACTTATCAACATTTTACTCATAAAATTGTCTCATTACGTTTAAGCCATACTTTAGGACTACTTTTATATCAAACTAATTTTTGATAAGTATAAACATATATCGCCTTCACTATAGGTGTCACAAGTCGACAAAAGCCTGTCAGCATTTCTGTAAAGCGACAAACACTTTAATAACTAAATTTAATCTAACGAAAAGATGGTAAACTTGTATAACAGATTTTATCTTCTATTTCGGCAAACAAGTATCTAAAAGAGCGTGATTTTCGAAACCACATTTTAGTAAAGTCTTCTAAATGTCGAATAAGCTTACTAAAAATAAATATGCAAAAATGCAATATATAGGATAAAAATCTCTATGACGAAAACCCATCTTTTTAGTTGCTCACAAAGCCGTTGGTTTAATGTCTATAGCATCCAAATACGCTCATGTGCTACAGAACCAAGTTGTAGTTAGCATCTTCGTTCATCCACAACATATTAAGATAACTGCTTTTTTATCCCGATTTTCTACTATGTACGTGTATTATCACTTCCTTTTACAGTCAACCAGCATTGTGGATGGTCTACATTGTGTACATACAGCTTTGTCTATCATATCGTCATCTGATGCGTCTGATGTTCTCACTACAGATCCTACTGCATTTTGTAATCATCTATACACTATCCTGGGACGCATCGCGGGTGTCGGTGTGAGTAATATAACAGAGAGTGACAATGCAGTTTCTCACTTATCTTCCGTAATCAAAGCCTATGATCGCTCAAATACCCCAGCTGCACAAGCTGTTGCCAATCTTGTGCAACGATCTAAAATCACCGAAAGTTCAAATAAAACTACATGTTCAGATGAAGTCACTTCTGTTACTGCCAGTATAAGCAATAGGATCAGTGCATACGAAATGGAACATATCTCAGATACCCTTATATCTTGTTTAAATATACTTCTTGTGAGAAGAAAACATGAGGTTTCAACCAACCGAATCCTCGCATTCTCGAAGCGCTTAGCTAGCGCAGCTTTGGCAGTAGTGAGTCTGGAATTATTTATATATTCACAATGTCTTGATATTTATATAACGTATCTATTTAGAGCAAAAGTTTTAGCGTGGTTATCTATATAAAGAGAATAAGTCTGGGTCTAATATCAAATATTTAGCGAAAAAATGTATGCTAACGAAATTAAACGACATTATTGGGAATTTAATACTAAAATAAAACCTGTTATCCAACCTGTGAATTTTGTTATTAAGGTATTGATATACTACTTCGCTCACAGCAACCAGATAGCATATTTAACATTTACATTAAGTGCGACTCGGGGCCTTGTACACAAGTGTGTATTTGTTTTCGAATTTTGCATAATATTCACTTTATTCCTTCTTGTTTGTTACGATCCACAACAATTATACCTAATGATTAGGTCTTGGCTGATTGGAGACTGAATGGGCTACAAGTCGATTTTCTCTGGTCATCTACGACAATTTACCAGGCTTATTTTGTGGTAATCTTTTGTACATAAGCATGTCATTTTACTACATAATTGGTGTATTCTTCTAGCTGGTGATCTTATCTCTTGTTTTACATCACTCGGAGGTTTGGATCAATAATACGTTATCCTGAATAGCAATCATTCAGCTACATCGTATCACTGCATCTCAAACATCAATCAGTGTTCCTTTTGTTTATTTTAGAAACCGGAAATTTCCTATCACTAACAGTAGCGACAAGAATAGATTTTCATCAAATATTCTAAATACTATCATCAGCTTAGCAGTCAGTAGGGTGTGTAGTGAATCTTTTGAGGTCATTATTAATCTGGTTGTGGATAAACATTTAACATGTTGCGAATTCCTGACATGTGTTGTCAGATGTTAATCATCCACTTCATATCTTTCTCCGTGTATATTCTCTGGTAAAACGAGGCGCCAATACATTAGAATCCATGCACGCAAGCAAAAATATAAAAGCTCTACAATATTTCATCTAGCAAATATACTATGTTACGGACAGATTGTTAGAGCTGATCTAATCGACAACTTGGATTCTTAAACATGTTTCTAATTAAAAATTTGCACAGATTCTGATCTTCTTAAAAAACATTTCATTTAGTTCTAGTTAGCTTATTAAGTTTATGTATACATTGGTTGAGTTCATGAGTCAATTGAAGCTAGACCACCGTAGAAAACCCGGAAGCACTGGATGGCCACTTCGTCCTATCGCGGGACTCCTCATCAGCGCGCATACACGATCCCGCCTCGCGGGATTCGAACCCAGGACCTACTGGTCCCGCGCGCGAGCACTTAACCAATAGACCACTGAGCCGGCATCCAATGGTGTCAATGTCTAACTTCAACTAATACATGAAATTGAGCGACGCATCCACCATTGTCATCAGCGAGTTACTATCTCGCAACTGACCCGGTTAAACTCCATTGGTCACTACTTCTCACTAGAACTCCAGGATATACATCTTGAAGCCAACCATTAGTGAGCATATGTTGATTGTTATCAGAATAGGTTTTGTGGAGATTTTAGTTATTTCAATAGTTGAAATCATGAATCAGTTAAAGCTAGACCACCATGGAAAACCTGGAAGCACTGGACGGCCGTTTCGCCCTATTGTGGGACTCCTCAGCAGTGCGCATCCACGATCCCACCCGGCGGGATTTGAACTATTGGAATTACTAAAATCTCTACAAAACACCCTTCTGATAATAATTAACATATGCTCACTAGTGACTGGCTTCAATATGTACATTCTGGAGTTCTAGTGAGAAGCAGTGACCAGTTATGTATACATGTATGTTAATTTTGTTTTGTAAAAGAAACTTGTTGAAGTACTTTGTTCTGTGAATCCTACGTTGCACCAAACATAATATTGAATGAAGCCATTAATAATAATACCATGAATAGAATGAGTAAATTGGTACTTTCCCAATTTAATGAAAGTTAGTCGCTACTCAAAAACAGTAATTAACCAAGTAAATCAAAACAAATATACAGTGTGCTTTTAATTCATTGTACACTCCTTAGCTACGTACAATTTAATAAACAATTAAAAAATCAACATATTTGGAAACTAAAAGGAATTTTAACAACATGACATAACAATAGGTTCCTGGGAATGTAAAACCGAAACGTAATATTCTAGCTCCACTCATAGTCAGGTAAAGTATGATAATTAGAAGTAGTCGAATCGATATGCTAACTGGTAATTCCTAGGACTGTTCAATTTGTATGAACCAGTAAGCCAGAGAAAATAGTGTACACATCCGAAGGTTTTATATTTTGTAATTTAAATCAGGTGTGGAATAATGTACAGATGAGTTATTAAGTAACGCAAACATCACATAAAGGTTCATACTTTCAGTTTAAAACCACAGAAGCGAAACTGAATCTACAGTTCAGTAACTGGTCAAACGATATAACTAATAAAACACTGATCTAATCGTAGCTAAAATACTGGTTCAAATTCTGTGAATCTGATCAAAGTGTTTTCTGGTAGGTTCTTTCAAAAAGTTTACATTTTGATGTATACTTCAGTCCATTGTATCATTTGAATATTAGTGCACAACTTCAAGTAATAATCGAATCAATTAAAAAAAACCTTTTTCAACTTCAGTCAGATCCATACTGCTCCAGTTCCTTGCTTATCAAGCTTTTTCATCTTCTTCGTCTTTTTCCGCGTTGTGAAATTCTATTCGACTGTGATCCAGAAATATGCAGTAACTATAAACCAGATGTAAATGATCCAGAATTATGCTTTCCTGCCAGCGCATGTTTATGGGACCTACTTCTATTAAAAAGCATTCTGATCCCGTGGTAACATGTTTTGTTTAAACAGTATTTTAAATCATATTATTTGGCTGTTACATATATTATCCTAATGAATCCACAGTTCGGTGATTAATAAATCTACTAGAGCTGAATTGTCAGTCTCTCGGTTATTATTTCAAAATGAGGACTAAATAAAATTTTAAATCCCATTTTAGCATGGAAAAACAATGTAGTCTTTATGTCACGATAGCTTCCTATGGAACAGATATAACTAAATCCATAGAGTCAAATTGTTTGGTAGATTTCAATCTAAAATGGTAGTGTTGTTTATTTAGCATATATATCATGCATATACACCAAACTTACTGAATTATACTTAGGTTTGTTAAATAGTATTCAACCACACTACCATTTGATAAAGTACTTAAACTATTGACCCTAATTTCGGATCCAGTGAGCAGCTGTCATCTATTCATGCTTGACCGAAATTTCCAAATGTTCTGTATAAATAATAAGTAAATTTGGAAACCCAGTCTACCTTTAAAAATTGTACTTTGTACTACTTGGTTATTTAAAAGCCCTAATTCATACGTAACTTTTAGTTCGACTTAGTCGATTTTCTTACGGACTAATACCACGCTGCATTTATTCGATTGACATCTACCAACAAAGTAGTCAATATATATAAAACTGCTAAACTAACAGATTATGACCTGTAGTTATTTTACTTTGTTAATTTTGAATGGTATTTAGAATTTCCTTATCATTTCGTAACAGTTAGTCAATTATAATCAAAGTAGATTCTAGTACAAATGTGCCTTAGCTCTAGTTGTCGCACTACATCAATATGACGAAATGAAATCAACGTAATGAGTAGCAAAGAAGTCAAGATCATCGTAGTGGTAATGATAGTAACAAACGCTAAACATTTTGAATGGTGTTCGAGAAGTGTTAGAACTTGTGACCGCTGATTAGAGAGCGGTGACTTATCGATCGGAACAATGACGCGTAAACACGTGCGAGCAGTATAGGGTTCTGATTGGCCCTGCTTTCCGCTTAGCCCAGCCAGATAAGTACAGAACACAAGTCTCAGCCTCTACGATATGAATTATATTTCAAACATACTCTGTTTATATACCAATCAAGCAGACCACATCGTACCATAAAATAGAAAATAACATTTGTACAATATTTGGCCAACAGGAAAATGACACGTGAAATAAGTATTGACCAGTAGGAAAATGACACGTGAAATAAATATTGACCAATAGGAAAATGATACCATCTCAAGTCCAAGGATAGCATTAGACTTAACAGAATAATTTTTGGGATATTTTTCTGAATATCCCAACAAAAAGTTTGTTATTTATTCTTAAAACTTATGACATGTCATGTATTATTTCATATTCTTCTGGTTCATTGTCTTTCAAAATACTTTTTTATAGGTAAATCAACTAGCAAATTTAATTATGCAATGGGGAAACGATGTTTGTGTTGGGGGGATAGGAGCCACTTCGACAAAACAGTACATACTACATATCGATGGGAGACAAGTTTCTTTAGACCATCTAACGCATCTGTCATCTGATGATCTCCGTATTGAATTAAAGACGCTTATCGAGAAAGATATTAGCGTTCCTGAAATACAATCCACAAAACAAATAAACACTTCCGATTTCCAGTTATCGGATTCATTCATAAAATATTTATCAGAATATGATCTAACTTCAGATGTTGAGCCACCAGCAAAGAAAATGAAGTCATTATAATATTTTATTTAAATTAAGCTAGTATTCCTGTAAAGTTAAGCGTACTAGATGACGCTTGAATAACTCCTACACAATAAAATTGACATAAAATGTAAATCAATTTTATTTGACGAAAATAAACACAAAATATCAGGCTGGTATTTAAACATTTTTATAGTATATAGTGTAAGCGTAATGGACGGAAACGGTTGGGGGACAACGAGTTGTATTTTAATACAAAATTAAAGAGTATCTTAGTAAAATATAAGAACCATACATAAAATACTTCATCTGCAAATATCCTATCGATTGTCTCAAACTTTATTGCTCTCAGTCCCCGTTCTCTTCGATTCTATCTTTACAACCTGCCTCCAGGCATTCCACTTCTGACCGATGTCACATACTACTTATATCGACATAAGTAGCATACACCACATGAGCACATCAAAATAGAGATAATAACCAACAATAAACCATAAAATCCTGACAACCAACCACATAGTCTTTTACAACTATCCAAATTCCCTATAATTCTATTTATTTTACTTTTCTGCTTGTAATCCCGTCCAGTAAAGTTTGTACAAGATCTGCTGTTGTAGAAGTGAAAACCTGAAGCGATGCGTTTATGCAAAATTCTACTAACCAACTAACTTTAGAATACTAGCCGATGGAGTTTGAGAGGCAACTCCTTTCAATTCATATCGGTACTGTGATAACACCCTGACAAATCCTTCTGCTATGGACAAAGATTGATGGTGGCTAGCAGTGGAATCCAGGACGCGCATTTCTTCCTGTTTGGGATTCGTCAACTGAATGTACCTGCATGCTAGATTTGATGTTCACTCCGGGACTCCAACCAGTACCGTTCGCCGAAAATGCTATCGCATTATTCACTTAGCACAAGCTAGTGGCTATCTGAACTCGGTAGCTAAACGGATAATACGATGACGTTGGAATCGAAGGGTAGGGAGTTTCAGTCGCGGAGTTAATATCGACTCGGATATGCAGATACATCCAAATGAAAAGTCCCAGATAAGAAAAGACGCACGTCCTGGATTCCATCACTAGCTACCACTCATTCTTGCTTATAATGCTTGTGACCTAAGGTAATATTGAGGCAATTCGTACAGGAAGCGCGTATTCCAATAAGTGGTTGTTCATTTAAAGATCTAAACATCAACGGAAAGATTCAATCAAACAATGCGAAAATAAATACATCCTTCATCTGTTAAAAGAGATGGCTTTTGCTTTGTCCACTTCTACCCACAATAATTAGCAAAAACTACTTCAAAGATGGTAGATAATAGTTTTCGCAAATACTTTGACTGATCTATCTTTTAGGAGTACTGCTAATGATCACATTAAAAGTCTCTACATGTCATTTAATTAGTGAGACAATCTAATGTAGGTAACGACTCTTGCTTATGTGGATTGTTCAAATACATTATCTGGTTCCATGAACTTGCCTGTAGGAGCAACTCTATCATTTCATTTTGACACTTCAACTAAGTCTACGCCTACTGTGGAACGTCACGATTCATATGTAGCTACACGTACATACCTCTTACGAACGTAAATCGCGCGAATACCGGTATGTGAAAGGCCATATGGCTTGTTGAAAATGGTTCTTAATGATCGTGGTACGGAGATGTAAATGATCATCAGCTGTTGCTCTGTTCACGACCAAATAGTCAATATATACGTAAGAGGGCGAATTCTAAACTATCTGTTCAATAAAGCGAGATGCTTCTGCAACATTAACTTTGAAAACTTGTAGTTTGCTTCACAAAATTTCGGTCCGCAAACATTTGATTGCTAGTACGCGGTAGTCAGCGGATAGCCAAATCCTTCCAAATAATCATATCCAACAAAGAGGACTTAGACTGCAAAATGGCCCAGTTTCAGCAGTTTACCAAATCCATCTTTTGCAATTTGTAGTTTTTTTATAATGCAATCGACGTGATATTACAGCAACTGGTAGACTGTACGTTACAATGTGATGCATAATTGAATGCTTCATTGTAGTCTCAGTGGCTGGGTTTTGTTGATGCAGACTCTGAAAGTAGCTTGGTATAGATGCAACTAAGCTTTGTTGTCACTAATTGATTCATGGATTGTAAGTCGGACAATATATTATGTTTATTGTTTATAAACCGATAAAGCTTGGTTTCTTCCAATATCACTCGCGGAAAACCAATTTGTTGCATATTATGCAGTAGTAGCCGTCGATTACCTAGTTGATAAGACACCGACGATTGAGGAGAGCAGTGCATAGATTGACAGATTAGCTGAAATCACTGGTAGCATTAACAAAGAGTGATCATCTGCCCTTAACATTAATCAGATAAAACAAATGAAGAATACGATGTTAGATTTTGGGCCAAGTACTAAGTTTGGTTCCTATACATATACTGCATTTCAGTTTCATAAAGATCAATCATGAACTTCACGTAGGAACCATCACAATTTTTATGGTTGTCATCAGTATTGAAGTAAATCTTCAAAAATCAATATGACCTTCCAAACTTATTGAATGCTGTATCAACACCAAAGCCTGAATGATGAACGTTGGATAGTCTCATGTTGAATGTAAAAAGAATTAACATAGGTCGGGTAATAAAAAATTCTCGCATGATTTATGAACCCACAAATCGATTCAATGAACAAGCGTGCAGTAATATCCCTGCTTGTAATCCTAAATTTCTAAAACAAAAACCACATGTAACATCTGACTTGGGATGTGCTGTTTTCCTATCATCTCATAAACATAAAGCTGTCGACTGAGTACATGTATGGTTTTCAAAACCAACTTGTATCGCTAAAGCTTTTGACACTAGACTAAAACATATCAAAAACAATTCGCAAGTCATTCACTCAATTTATTTACCGAGTACATGTTGGCTTCGAGTCACAATCCCAGTGTAAGGATTATTGAAATTACTCGGTTACCCAAACCCAAGTTAGTGGAACGGGGTTTGAGCCTGAGACTTACTAGCTGAAAGTCAAGCGCCATAACTGCTGACTAATTGATTAGGCAGTGTGAAGATATTGGAATATCTTAAGAACTACATCAGTAGATGTGAAGTTTGATAACCACTATTTACAACCAATTATCCGAATCAATGAATAAGTTACATAAGAATAGGGTTAATACGATGTTTATATACACAAGAAGTTGAAGGAATTTAAACGAAATTACATTATAAACGAGGTTTAATTTTTGTTGAACGTTTGTTATCACCTAAAATTTTCGTCAGGTCATCGTAACTGAGAACTTCGTTCTTTAAAAGAGCATCAATAAGTGCTAACAGGTTGTCCTTATTTTCTTCCAACATTTTTACAGAACGCGAAAATGCTGAAGATAAAAGTTGATTGGCTTCTATTTCCATGATGGCTTCCGTTTTTTGACAGAACGGTTTCAGAGAGGACAATCCACTGGATGACTCATCCTAAAATGTAAATGAAAATGATTACTGAGTAATCTTACATAATAAATGTACAGGAGCACGAGACTTGTCTGTAGTTTCAGACAACCTGACTTAAATAACTTTGATAACTAATTTCAATCCACTGTCTACGATCGCGATGGTGTCAATAGAAAAATTGTCAGATAAGTCGTACTTACTCTAAGCCATAATTACAATCTAAACAGATAGCCTAACACATACGATAAATGGCTGGCTTCATTATGATCTATTTAACTCCAAGTATCGGATAAAAGAGGTGGGTCTGACTAAAAAAACTCGTTCACTGTAGTATTTGTACGAACTGATGATTCCTTTGTACTTGATTTCCTGCTAATTACGAATTACAGATATAATACGTTCATTGTGCTCATATAATGCTGTCTGCCTCAAAGTGTACTATTTAGGGAATTCTTAGTACATTAATCCGAACACTTTTATTTATCATATTGGCGTCGCGATGGAGTCAAATTTCGGACAGTTGGATATTAACCCAAGTAAGGATGACTTTGAGAACCACATATAGCGCTTCAAGATCTGGTGCATCACTAGAAAACGTATTAAAGATGATAAATTCACAGCCTAATTCCTGACGTTCTTGGGGAAAGAAGATTATAACCTGCTGAAGAATCTGACTCCACAAAAACTATAAATCACTCAGAGAATTATCACATAGTCATGTGCAGTGTACTAGCTATAAATGTAGAGAGACATCGAAGTTTTATAAAATGATCAGAAAGTTAAGGTCTTATACTTGAACTGTAGAAACAGGTCGCGAAGCGCAATTTCGCAGACCGATTGGAAAGTTTCGTGATCAGTTGATTGCTGGTATAAATATTTCGAATTAAGGAAGGGAATTAATTCAGCAGCGCAAAAGTTCATCCCAAGAAATCTAAACAGTGAATGAGGTTGATTTGTAGTCAGTGAAAATTTCTAGTACTTTGCTTAATCATCGTGATGAACTACATTCTCAGCAACACTCAAACTCGCATTTGCTTAATAATGGTTCCCATTCTCATAGAAATATGGAAAGTGGTTTAACATGAGCACAGGTTTGGTAGATGTTTATCCTGTTGTAAATTTCACTTACGTAATCCATGTGTCTTTCGTCATGCCAAATGCTTTATGTGTGGTAAAATGGAACACATCATGTCGGTCTGTAAAGCTACTGTTCATTTTGCCACTAGTGATGATAAACCCAATAATTCTGATTTTATTCAGTTGAGTGTTTCTAATC